CTTTTTAATCTGTGTGTTTGTTTTGCTCTGTTAGAAGTGTAACACAATGGTTGCTGATGACACGATAAATAAGCTTAAGTTTGAGGTCCCCTGATCACAATGAATGAATATGCGTGTGTGCATGATGTCAGCATTAGTCCCGAGAAAATCAGTTATGATTTTCCGATGTTCAAAATTACCTCTCCATGTTTTAGCCTTTTTGTAGACTTTGAATTGTTGTGGGACTGATTTATATATAGGCTGCTTTAAGTCTCCTTGTGGAGGGAAAAAGCAGGGGATTGATAAACATCATCATATTAGTAGTATCGGTATTGCCTTGATACTTAACACAGCCTGAAGTCCTTCAGGAAACTGGCTGCAAAGCTGCTTCTAACTCCGATAAAGTTCCAAGTATACAACCAGGGTGTGCTAAAACCCTCTCTGCTTTGCCAAGACACCAAGACGACCAAGAAATAGGTTGTTCTTTCAAATGGCCTTTCCAAACCATCAGCTGTCAGTAATGATGGAACCTTATTTAAAGGATAGCGTGGGGTTGTTCGCTCAGAGCCCCCAGAGACGGAGAAGGGTGCCCGAAAAGCCCACCCAGAGCCCCGCAGCAGCCTGCCACGCTCACCAGGACCAGCCCAACCCCCGCCAGCGCCGCCAGTCCTTCCACCAGCCACAGCAGCTCCATCGCTCCCCGCAAACGGCAAGAACGCCCAGCTTGCAGGAAAAGACACGGAGGCGGAAGCGGGCAGAGCCACAAGGCGGGGCAAAGGGCCGCTGCAGCCTTAGCTTCCGGAGACAGGGAGCGCCGCAATTGGCGGGCCCAAGTCGCCCTCTTCTGGAGTTTTGAGGGCGGTCATGCCATGGCCTTTGAGGGCGGAAGTACGCGTTTGGGCTTCTGGGTTGGTGGAACGTGACGGAGATTTCGATCGTTACCCGTCCTTCCGCCAAAAGGAGCACTTCCGGCGCCGCGCTCGCTTCCTTCCGCTCAGAGCCACCCAGGTCGGGAGCCTTAGAGCGTCCTCATTGGCCCTTTGAGGAGCGCGTGAGGGAGAATGGCGGCGGCCGGTGGGTTCAGGTGAGGAGCGGCGCCCAGAGCCGGGTTGAGGACGAATGAGGCCCTGCGTTAGGGAAGTTCTGAGTCCCCTGACTTGAACTCGGGAGGAGGCCCGGTCAACGTACACTGCCTGCTTTGTGGCACACGCTCAGAGACTCCCGTAGGGTTCCTTTTTTATTGTTCAAATTGTTTCGCTGCTACAGTGTAAAAGTTCAGGGCAGAACCAATGGAAATAGACGAACCAGTCAACGAATGCTCTGCCATTAAGGTTTGATTACACTGTTGTTGTTCATTCGTTCAGTCGTCTCCGACTCTTCGTGACCTCACGGACCAGCCCATGCCAGAGCTCCCTGTTGGCCGTCACCACCCCAGCTCCTTCAGAGTCAAGCCAGTCACTTCAAGGATACCATCCATCCATCTTGCCCTTGGTCCGCCCCTCTTCCTTTTTCCTTCCATTTTCCCCAGCATAATTGTCTTCTCTAAGCTTTCCTGTCTTCTCATGATGTGGTCAAAGTACTTCATCTTTGCCTCTTATCTTTCCCTCCAGTGAGCAGTCGGCTTTATTTCCTGGAGGATGGACTGGTTGGATCTTCTCGCAGTCCAAGGCACTCTCAGAACTTTCCTCCAACACCACAGCTCAAAAGCATCGATCTTCCTTCGCTCAGCCTTCCCTAAGGTCCAGCTCTCACGTCCGTAGGTTACTACAGGGAATACCATGGCTTTGACTATGCGGATCTTTGTTGCCAGTGTGATGTCTCTACTCTTTACTATTTTATCGAGATTGGACATTGCTCTCCTCCCAAGAAGTAAGCGTCTTCTGATTTCCTGGCTACAGTCTGAGTCTGCAGTAATCTTTGCACCTAGAAATACAAAGTCTGTCACGGCCTCCACATTTTCTCCCTCTATTTTCCAGTTGTCAATCATTCTTGTTGCCATAATCTTGGTTTTTTTATGTTTATCTGCAACCCAGCTTTTGCGCTTTCTTCTTTCACCTTGATTAGAAGGCTCCTCAGTTCCTCCTCGCTTTCGGCCATCAGAGTGGTGTCATCTGCATATCTGAGGTTGTTAATGTTTCTTCCAGCAATTTTCACCCCAGCTTTGCATTCATCAAGCCCCGCACATCGCATGATGTGTTCTGCATACAAGTTAAAAAGGTTGGGTGAGAGTATGCAGCCTTGCCGTACGCCTTTCCCAATCTTGAACCAGTCTGTTGTTCCGTGGTCAGTTCTGACTGTTGCTACTTGGTCCTTGCACAGATTCCTCAGGAGAGAGACAAGGTGGCTTGGTATGCCCATCCCACCAAGAACTTGCCACAATTTATTATGATCCACACAGTCAAAGGCTTTAGAATAGTCAATGAAGCAGAAATAGATGTTTTTCTGAAACTCCCTGCCTTTCTCCATTATCCAGCGGATATTGGCAATTTGGTCTCTCGTTCCTCTGCCTTTTCTAAACCCAGCTTGAACATCTGGCAACTCTCGCTCCATGTATTGCTGGAGTCTTCCTTGCAGGATCTTGAGCATTACCTTACTGGCATGAGAAATAAGGGCCACTGTACGGAAGTTTGAGCAATCTTTCGCATTTCCCTTTTTTGGTATGTGGATACACTATGTAACAACATTTGAAAAAAATCTGTTCCTGGTTTGAAGGTGTTCTTTCCTGTTTAATTGTGCGCTACGTACTTTGAAAGTAGTTGTTCTACTCCAGAAACTTCGTTTTGTGGCTGCCGGAAACTGTTGAATTGGTTGACACCTGATACTCAGTGGAAAATCTATAGCAGAGTGTGCTGCAGAATGTCCTGCAAAAAGCAAGGCTTTTGCAGTTCAATAAACTTTCCCCATGTTTTAATTATAGAACGAATTAGGAAAAGCCAGGAACAAAAATTGTGTTACATAGTGCTATCAACTCTATCATTCTGTCTGGAATCGTATCGAAACGGAACACCTTCAAATTTAGAATTTCATCATGTTAGAGGCAGGTGGTGGGGAAGGGCCTCTTTCAGGCACCACTCTTGCCTCCTCGGTCTCTGTGCCGTTCCTCTCATTAAAGGCACATCTAAAAAGTTTCAGACCAGCATGGAAGAAAAGTAGTTTTACTGTGCAGACAATTTCATGGAAAATCTTGGAAATGGTTTGCGGCCCAGATGATGATCCTACAAAGCACTGATGCGCAGTTAGGGTTTCTTTTTATAGGATTTGTGGGAGTTTTTTTGTGTGGATGCCGCATTGCATTAAATGATTGGTGTAGATGGGGCCTAAGGCTGGTTCATGCTGCCTTGTTGCTGTTATTATTTATTTATTTATTCCGTGCTTTATATCCCCAAAGGGGACTCAAAGTGGCTTGATATAAAAGCCTTAGTATACAATTTAAAATATACAAATCTATACATTTTAAAACAGAATTAAATACAGGGTTAGTCAAAATGAATAGGCCAATAAGAAAATTAATTTTAGACGAATGTATGTTTACTGTAACCAAACCACAGCTACGTAGCGACAGATAAACTATCAAAGTTTTTTTTGAGCAACACACATGTACGTTAATGCCGCTAGGCGTCGCTAGGGGTCGCTGTTTTCAAAATGGCGGAATCAAGCAAAAAGAAGGCGTTTTGTGTGATGACATTTGCTAAAACAATGTCAGTAATTACGGTCCAGCGAGAATTTCAAGGGTTAGGGTTAGGGTTAGGACCTCAACGAACACCTTCCCAGACGTTGCTGCATTCGATGCCATTACGTCGGATGTGCTGCAACGGATGTGGAATGAACTGGACTATCGCTTGGACATCTGCCGTGTCACACGGGGCGCCCATATCGAACATCTCTGAAGGTGAGACAAAACTTTGATAGTTTATCTGTCGCTACGTAGCTGTAGTTTGGTTACAATAAACATACATTCGTCTAAAATTAATTTTCTTATTGGCCTATTCATTTTGACTAACCCTGTACAAACAGCACTAAAACATTCACAGTTAAAATCCATTAAAACACATTCAAAGTTGAAAACCACAGCATCCCCTTACTAGATCTTAAACACCTTTATCTTTAAAAGTCTGTCATGGGACAGGGCCATTCTGGTTTCCTGGGAAGAAAGGGAATTCCAGAGTCAAGGGGCAGCCACTAAAAAGAAAGGCCCTCTCTCTCATTCCCACCAACCGAGCTTGAAATGGAGGTGTTACTGAGAGAAGGACCTCTCTTGAAAATCTCAGGACCTGGGCAGGTTTATACAAGCGGATGCGGTCAGCCTAAAATCCAGCCTAGACCTGGACCATCTAGGGCTTTAAAGGTCATAACCTTTAAATTGTCATAAACTTGACCTGGAAACAGACTGGTAGCCAGTGGGGCTGCTGCAACAGGAGGGTTGCCCTCTCCCCAGTTAGCAACCTGGCTGCAACTCTTTGGACCAGCTGAAGCAGTCTTCAGAAGCAGCCCCGTGTAGAATAAGGTACAGTAATCCAGGTAGGATTTAACTAAGGCATGGACCACCTAGTGAGATCAGGCTTATCATGCAGTATGAAGCTGCAACTGGTCAATTTAAATTTGTATAGTGCAGTTTAACTGTGTTGAATGACATGATATACAGTGACTGTATAATGCAGATTCAAACCACATTGTATGGCAGTGTATAATTCCTGAATCCTGGAGGGGCCTTTAACATTCTCAGCCTACAAACTCCAGAAAGTCACAGGAGTCAATCATACAATTTAAACTGGGTGTTCTAAAGTGTAGTGTGATAATCTCGTCAAGTCTTCTTGGGTTCATATTTCCCCTATCAGTTTTAATGCTCTGACCTGCTAGAGCAGAAAAAAACCCAGTTCCATGGAAATATGTGCTGTGATCCTTTCTTTGCCTTTAGAACGTCTCTTGAAATTTTCCTTTTTTAAAAAAAGTGAAGAGATGGTCTAACACATGACAAACCTCTCCAACCATAATTCTGTGAAAAGGGAGTCATACAGATGTTTCACATCCTTGGCAGCTGTACAAAAAGGTCTTCAGCAGTTTTTAAAGCAGCTGTGTTAAACATGAGTTGTGCCGTGAGAAAACATTTTGTCTTTTCTTTACGTGTCACTTGTTACAGAACTGTGGAACCTGTGGAGTATTACAGAAGATTCTTAGTGAGTACAATGTGATTGTATATATATATGTGTGAGATTGATTGATTGATTGATTGATTTCACTTGTATACCACTACTCCCAATTTGGCTCGGAGGGGTTTACAGCAGTAGATTAAAACAATACAATTAACTTTAAAATACAATAAAACAAGAACAGACATAGTCCCGAGTTATTCATCCATCGAAAGCTTGTCGGAAGAGAAAGGTTTTACAGGCTTTCCGAAAAGCAAGTAGGTCTCGGATAGATCGGGTTTCAACTGGCAAGGCATTCCATAAATAAGGGGATACAATTGAGAAGGCCCTCTGCCTAGTAGAGGACAGATGATAAGTCCAGATGTTGGGTACTTCAAGCAAATTTTGGTCTTCGGACCGAAGTAATCTCTGGGGTTGGTAGGGGGATAAGGGGGCCCTCAGGTACGCCGGCCCAGGACCATATAAGGCCTTAAAGGTTAGTACCAGCACCTTGAAAGTAATCCGGTACTCAATCGATAGCCAGTGCAGCTGTTGTAGAATTGGGGTGATACGACACCTCGCCGACATCCCGGCAAGAAGACGAGCCGCCGCATTTTGCACCAGCTTCAGTTTCCGGATCACTGACGAAGGCCAATGTAGAGGGCGTTTCAGTAGTCAAGCCTTGAGATGACCGTCGACTGGATCACCGTAGCCAGGTCGTTCCTAGATAGGTAGGGAGCCAGTCGCCTAGCCTGACGTAGGTGGAAAAACGCAGATCTGCTCACAGCAGAGACCTGGGCCTCTATTGTGAGCAGAGGGTCCAATAAGACACCAAGACTTTTTACAGAAGGTGACGGACGTTGTGTCTCGCCATCCAGGGTAGGCAGCTGGATCTCCCTCCCACCCAGACGGCCCAGCCAAAGGATCTCCGTCTTCGCTGGGTTCACCCTCAACCTGCTGGCACGCAACCATCCAGTAATGGCCTCAAGGCACTGATGGAAATTTTCGGGTACAGAGTCCGGCCGGCCCTCCATCCTCAGAATGAGCAGAGTGTCATCAGCCCAAAGCTCCGCACCAGTCGGGCAAGCGGTCGCATATAGATGTTAAATAATAGAGGAGAGAGAATAGCTCCCTACGGGACCCCACAAGTTAGCAGAGATCTCTCGGAAACCATCCCTCCCCTTATCACACGCTGTCCCAGATTCTGGAGGAAGGAGGACACCCATTTAAGGGGTATCCCCCTAACCCCAGTCATGGCTAGGCGGTGGGTCAATAGATTGTGATCGACCGTATCAAATGCTGCTGTGAGGTCCAATAACACAAGCAGCACTGATCCGCCTTGATCCATCCGGCAGCGAAGCTGATCTGTGATGGCAACTAGCACAGTCTCCGTCCCGTCATACCTTCCTCATATAAGATTTTCCATACATAACTGCTACGATTTTAAGACCTCCTATTAAGATCCCCCCAAATGAGGCTGTTAGACTCTTGATAAATAAACAGTAGAGGAAGTGAGGAAAAGGGAGAACTTTAAAGAGCACAGGGCCCAGCCTCTTCCCCACGTCACTACCACTCTTTGAAAAAAAGTCAAAGTAAACCACAAAGGTAAAAAGAAGGTAAAAATGTAGGGAAAAAGGTTAACATTCACACTGTAAAAATGCAACAGAGAAGCTTCAATTTCAGGTTAAGCAAGGCATGGGCAAACTTTGGCCCTCCAGGTGTTTTGGACTTACTAAGCTGTTAGGAATTATGGGAGCTGAAGTTCAAAACACTTGGAAGACCAAAGGTCAGGAGCCACTGTTTTAGAGCAAAGCTTCTTAAACTCTGGGTTCTGACCCATTTGGGCTCCTCTAACTAAATCTGAGGGGTCACAAAAACGTGTAGTTTGCCTCCTAGTGGTTGTTTTAGGCACTTACATGAACCCAGGAGGAAAAAAAGAGCACCAACTGTGCATATTCTGCTACTTGAGGCTGAAACCAAGGATGGCAGCATAGCATGCAAAATGTTGAATATGTTGAACATCCTGCAAAATCAAATATTCAGTCAAGATGTGATTCTTTATGTTAAAAAATGCAAGCCCATCTTGTTAGTATGCAAATTTGCTTTCCTCTTTAATAAATTATGACAAAGAAGGGTTTTAAAATAAAATTATTTACAATTTTGTTATTATTATTTGATTTGTTATTTTTAATATACCTATATACCTGGGATCGTGTAAAAATTTCTCAGGCAGTTATGCAGAAAAAGCGTAAAACATGCTGCCCCTTTGATATTTCTAAAATTTTTAGTATGCAGATGACTTGATGAAGTAAGTGGGTGGAAGTTTTCAGGACAATAAACCAGTTAAAAGCAGTAAATGTTCCTTTCAACGAAAACTCCCATTCATATCTTATTCCCATTGATTGATATCTAGACATAACTGCTGGGTGGAATAACAGACAAGCCGAGACATCATTATCTGATCTTGGCTGTTGTGGTGAAAATTTTGCATCAGAAATCTCTGGGTATTTTTGTTGGACTCAAAGCTGTCTGCATTACTCAGTTTTATAACTGTTGATTTTATATAAGGGATGCCATAAGATTTGGTTTATGTTTGAACAGTAACTCCCTCTGTGGAATGGAATACACTTTCAAGAACATACTCATGGAATCATAGAGTTGGAAGAGCCCTCATGGTCCAACCCTCAGCCAAGAAGCAGGAATATTGCATTCAAAGCACCCCTGACAGATGGCCATCCAGCCTCCTACCATCTTCCCCTAATGCTGGCCTAAAGATTCTTATCACAGTCTGTAACTCAGTTTTTTTTAAAAAAAAATGCTAGAAGCGACTTGAGAACATACTGCAAGTAGCTTCTGGTGTGAGAGAATTGACTGTTTACAGAGACATTGACTAGGGGTCACCTAGATGTGTTACCATTCTGCTGGGTGGCTTCTCTCATGTCCCCGCAAGATAGAGCTGGCAGGTGGGAGCTAAACCCTTCTCACAGATTTCAACTGGCAACCTTCATGTCAGCAACCCAACCTTCAGGTCAGCAGTCCAGCTGGCACAAGGGTTTAATGTATCTTATGGTATGCTGCCATGATTTTAGATTTCTTGATTCCAGGGAGGAAGGAAACATAACTGTAAATCATTGGAAGCAGGAGATTCCTTTTGGGGCATGGACCTTTCCTCATTGTTCATGGCTGCTCTGCTGAACCCTCTCAAAACCAGATTCATGAAGGCTGGACTACAAGGCAAGACCAAATGCTTTGTACCAATGCTGCAGCTTTTTCAAAGAGCTCTATATTCTTCCTTCTTGTTTGGGAGGGAAACAGAAGTAGGCAGGAATACTTGAAGCGGCAGTGAGAGAGAGGGAGGGTAAATATGGAGAAACTAACAACTGAACTTCTTCCTTAGATTACTTCTCTCAATGCCTCTATCAATCCCCTTTTCTGTGTTTCTGCACATTGTCAGTAAAATAGCATTTAGAATGGGACATGCTTTCTTTCTTGTTGCCTCACGAAAGTGGGTTGCCTCATTCTAGCTGTTAACTTATATTTAGTGGCAGTGAAGTTTTGTTAGTACAGTACACCAAAATTCCGTAATTTATCAGGTGTGTCATGTCACATATGCAAATTTCTTTTAGCTCATTTAACATATTACAATTGATCCAAAGAAATATGTATAGCTTTTGAATTACAGTCGGCACTTCCTCTCTAGAGAAAAAACTTTTCTAGCCATTAGGAAATGTATGAATTTCTGGAAATTAGACTTCTGTTTGGTGTAGTTTCCATAAGTTTGTATGCAATGCAGTCATCTGAGAAAGCATCTTCTTGTTTTTGTTGATGAAGTAACAATGTATCTGCACATTTCTATGCTGGCCTTTTTGACCTTAGTTTAGTTTGATTTCTAGTTAGTTAGACTACTTTTGCAATTCTGACTTGATCATTGATTTATGGTCTTTTTAGAAAGACAATTGTCGGCCTGATGGAAGAAACCTTGGTGAATTTAGAACCACGACTGTCAATATAGGTAAATATTTTAGTGCACAGCATTAATGTTTGCTCTTAGGGTTTTTCCTGAGCTTGTAGGAGGCATTCTAGTTTTTAGCATATAGTTGAAGGATTGGATGTAGACTTAACCATATACTCATTGAAATTAATGAGGATTAGGTTAGTAACTATTCCTCTTGATTTCTATGGCTCTGTTGTGACTATCCGCTCCCAAATATTTCCTGTAAAAATTCATTACCACATTCTAGTTTGAGAATATGGGAAGAGGTGACTGTTGTGAACCAGAAGCCTTAAAGGAGCCAAACACAAGTAGAAGGTCCAAACAAAGTTTATTAATATAACAAAAATAGCATAGAAACACTTAATTCAGGATTTCTAGCCAAAAGCAAAGTTTGTAGCAAACCACTATGCAAAAAACGCAACTTGGAATATAATCCGGATTATGCTGGAGTATAATCAGGTATAACAAAAAGTTCAAGCAAACTGCTTCAAAGTAACAGAGTTCACAAAACACAAGGTAGCAAGGTGGGAGCAAGCAAAAACGTAGTCAGAAAACAGTCCAGAGTCAAGGCACATTCAAAAGTAGCAATAAGAGTCCAAAACACGATGTCATCGTCCAAAAACAATCCGAAGTCAGCAGGGGAGTAGAAGTCAGCACTTACAGGATTTCAGTTAGTAGCAGCACGGAAACACAGCGATCTGCAGTCCCAGGACCCAAGGCGAAAGTAATGGCAGCAACTAAGTCCCAAGCCCAAATACAGCGCTTTGCCTACTGCAAAGTTCCAATAGTTTGATACCTTACTTTTATCCTATAGCTCCTCATCAAAGGATGAGCTGGACTCCACGCTGTCGTCATCACTCTCAGGTGCCTTTGCTTCCACAGCTGCCCGCCATCGCCCATCCCTCCAACTTCTCCAGCGACTATCAAGACTTAGATTACCCCATGTATTTCCAGATTTCCAGTCTCCCGAGAACCCTTCAAACTCTTCATTTGATGTTGGTTGAGTGCAAATGTCCCTAATCTCTTGCATGCAGGTCCAGTCTAACCCATCCTCCTCTCCCATCTCACTCCCGGTCCCATCACTCCCCGTGAATCCCATAAAGTCTTCCTCCTCAATCGAAGCATTAAGTATTTCACGGATCTGCTTCCTTTCCCTTTCTTCGTCTGACTCTTGCTCCCAAGTAACCTGCTTTAACCCTCTTATACCGTCTCCCTCTTCCTCCATCTCAGAGTCAGTGAAACCTTCGAACGACTCAGTATCTGTAGGTGTCATGAATATCTCCCTAAATAGTTTCCTTTGTTGATCATGTTCCAACACCTGAGCAGCCCTCTTTCCCCTTCTACTACTAGTTGTAGCTTGATCAGCACACTCTACTACAACAGGTGACATTAGTAATGGCCATAATCTCAGTTGAAGTAGAAAAGTATATTTAACTGGTCCAGGTTAACTGTAATATATTCAGTTTTATGTATTCAGCCCCATGCTGTCAACATATTGCCTCTTTGCATTAATTGTATGCGAAATCAGATAGATAGATAGATAGATAGATAGATAGATAGCATTTCCATATAGCATTTCTAACCTGATGAACGCCATCTTCTGTCATTTTATCTACATTAAACAAACAGGATAGTGTCCTTACATGTGCACAACACAGACACAAATTTGATATTAAAAATTATAACACCTCAAAACCACCTGCAGAGCATTGCATCCAGTTTCTTATTTGAGAGTAGTTGTGCTTTAATAAAAGATGTTTTAAAAAAAACTGGGAAAGAGAAGCAGATGAATTGGCATGTATCTGCAAATTCCAGTCCATTAGCAAAGGTATAAACGGAGATAATGGGTTATTTGCACATTGCATATATTATTGTTATTTCACAGCTAAATATACGATAAAGAATTTTTGATCAGCAGATTTATTACAGTACTTTTTCACCTAGACTAACAGACAAGTTGTTTGAAAGACCTATATCTTCTTACATAACTTTGACATTCATGGCCAGCGACAGCATTTGTATTCTGAGATACCCAACCTGCAGCTTTGTAATTGCATAATAGATTTGTGGTTTGAATACTGTATTCCATCAGTGCCTCTGCAGAATTATGCAAAGTGATCATGTAGTACCTTAGAGACTAGTTGAGAGAATGACATTGGTAGCATAAGCTTTTGTAGACTAAATTTTCTCAGTGAGTCTGCAAGGTGCTACAAGATCCCTTTGCCTACTGATATTCCAGACTAACACGACTATGAGTGCACCTACTTTGTAGAATTAATGCAGTCTGACACCGGTTTAACTACCATGGCCCATGATACCATGGGAATCATGAGAGTTGCAATTTTAAGCCTTCTCTGCCAAAAAGTGCTAGTGCCTCAGCAAACTACAAATTTCAGGGTCTCATAATGCTGAACCATGGTGGTGAACGTTGCATTAAACTGCATTAATTCAACACTGTAGATGCACCCTGTGTCTTTGAATTCTACCTTTCAAGAAGGGGATTGAGATCCACTTAAGGTGTTATAAGTACTTTTTAAAACATTAAATAGGTTCTTTTATTTTGCTTTTAGTGAGACAGGTTGCATTAGGCACTTTCAGAGAAAAAGTAGGCACAGACTCCAGTACTGGGTTTTATAATAATTATATTGGTTACATAGACAAAGGGGAATATTGCATCAACATTTACACATATACTCTAACATTCATTCATTCATTCATTCATTCATTCATTCATCAAGCATTCTTACCATTCTTCTTGCTGAAGATGATCAGCTTCTTGAGAGGAGTCAGTGACTGTTCACGATGGTGTTCAGAAATGGTGTTCAGTTGGTCTGACACACACTCTCTGAGAGAGAAGGGTCCTTTTATGTAGTATTTTCTGTTGATGTGGTTCTGAAAGTTGTAAATTACTGCCAGACAGATTCCATCAGTTCCTGGACAGATGTTGCTTTTGTTTAATTGGCTTTCCTTATCAAGGAGGCTTGTAACCATTTCTGTAAGGAGCCACAGTGTTGACTTCCTTACTTAAAAGAACAATTGTCTTTGGCAATGCTAATCAAGAGTTAATCAAGTCAGAATGTCAACAGTTAATCATTTGTCTCAAATCTCATCAGCAATTTTTAATTAGTCCGTGAGTCCTTCGTCTCTGTCTTGTAGTTTTCCAGGCCTCATTCCTTAGAATGGTATCTTCAGCCCAATTGGGCCACATTCATACACCTTTCATACAATCTCAGTCAAACCATACAGCATATTTTATCATGTCAAAGGCTCATACAATGATGAAGAAATGTTAGTGAAATAAACTAAAATGTGCCTTCTTTCCTGCTAAATATTAGTGCCTCTGCAGCAAATTCAAAATAAACATTTAGTTATTTTTCATCATCTTGCTGGTAGCAGAGTCTCAGTGGCAGAATCCGCAGGAATAAATGGGAGTAAGTGGGTGCACATAGAGGGGGGAGTGGGGGAAGAGAAGGAGAAGCCAGCACTCTAAATCACTTTAGAAATTTGGAAATAAATATTTTACATGTAACCCAAGTCTGTTACTTCTGGTATCTGCCATGGATCTGCTAGTCTGATCTGCCAAGGAAGAAAGCTTATACACTACTGAAGCATTTTGTCTTTCTCAACAGGTTCAATTACCACAGCAGATGGCTCTGCCCTTGTGAAGCTAGGTAACACGACCGTTGTATGTGGCATAAAGGCGGTAGGTTCTTGAACTGAGGTTTTTCAAAATGCAGCTTCAGGTTTTTATGAAGCCAACTGAACATCAGAATGCTATAGCATTTCTCCTGTAACAATGACTGCTTCTATCTCTAGAAGAGTAGACTAACTGAGATCACTGATGCAGTTTTCCTGATGTGGATGAAAAAGAGAAACAATGGTTTTCCTTTAGGAAAAAGCAGTGTCCTGATGCAGCCTCGTAGTCCCTTTTTATACAGAAATCATAATAGACCAGCTTTCAATTTTGTCTGCCTATAGAAAGCTGTTTCCCACAGTTGGGAAGGCTGTGATATGAGGGCTAATTTATTCATACAACAAGTCTGAAGAAATTACACATTCCTATATCCCTACATAAATGTTATTTCTTGTAAATATAATTTTGATTCCTTGACATATGCTTTGGAATGCTGAGATGAGAATGGATCTTGAGTACCTACATGTGCAGTGCAACTTGTGCTGAATCCAACTACCATATTTCTTCCATTATAAGACACCATTAATAGTAAGATGCACCCTAATTTCAGTACCACATCAACAAAAATACATGATACACCTGTGATTCTAAGATGCACCCCATTTTTAGCTATGTTTATGTAGGGGAAAAGTGCATCTTAGAATTGAGGAAATCTAGTAACTGCAAAGTAGAGCTAAAATATTGGCTAGGGAGCTCTCTTTGCAAAGCTGCATTCAGTATAAGAGTGACCTGTAAACATTGCATTCTTCCATGCCCATCATAAAGACAGAATTTATTAGGTTTTATATTTTGAATCAGGATGTTAGATAACTCACTATTTTTCAAATTTGCTTGGAATATGGTACAGCAACTTTTAGTGTTTTATAATACCCTTCCACATAGCCCTATATCCCAGAATATCAAGGCAGAAAATCTCACATTATCTGAGTGCAGATACTGTGGGATCTTTTAGCCTTGATATTCTGGGATATAGGGCTGTGTGTAAGGGCCCTTAGAGAGATGCATTTGGGATATTATATGTCACGTGTCAAACTCAAGGCCTGCGGGCCAAATCTGGCCTGCTACAGATTTTATGTGGTCTTCCAGATGCTGGATTACAATTCTTCTATACTTCAACATTAGAGCTAATTGTAGTTGTGATATAGTATTCCCTGGAAGAATGCAACATGTTCTGTTTAGTCAGAACAGTGGGGTTTTAAGTTAGATACAATTGGGGATAGGATGTCTGACTTAAATGCCCTTTAATCTTTCCCCGACCTCGAGAGTCACAAATGCTGTTGGGTTGCAATTCACATTAACCCAGTCCGCATGGCAGATAATAAAAAACAATGGGAGCTGTCATTCATTAACATCTGGGGACCCGAATTGGGTACAAACAAATGTACCAAGCTGTGTTTGGTTTTATACTATGAAGCAAGGACATTGGTATGTGTACAAAAGCGATGTGGAAAGGAAGATGCATACAACACAACAACAAAAATAATTTGTTACCTGCCTCTCTTCATGGCTCAAGGCAGAGCCCAATACAATTAAAACACATCACCTTAAAATATATAGCATGCCCACAACTTATCACAGAATCATTAGGTTTGTTACTATACATTTGATATTAGTGAGCAATATTTGTAAGTAAACAATAAACTATCAAATGTGTGAAAAAAAGTTAGAATGTGTCTTGATTTTCTCAAATGTGTGTAGGTCTGTAATAGTGCAACTTCAAAATTACTTTTCTTTTGTATGCCCCATCTCTTCCGCTGTGTTGGATATACTGTCTATAGGAATTCGCAGCACCCCCTGCTGATTCCAGTAACAAAGGATATATTGGTAAGGTTTCTGTTTTTCCTGAAATAGCGAATCTATTTCAATTTCCTGCTAGATTATTTAACATCATCAGAATTAATGGAATTTCAGAGATTGGGTAATTCTATCTGAATATATGCTGCTCCTGACATTTTAATATAGTGCACTTGTTCAGAAAGTCTTGTTTCAATTAAGGCAGCATGCTGATTGGGATTCCTGCGTGGTTTTTTTTTTTAATCTCTACTAAGAGCCATCATAATCATCATTTGCGTGCCTATTCAGAAATATGTTCTCCAAATTTCAGTGATATATGCTCTTGGATGAGTGAGGATAGAATCCTGGTCTTTAGTCAAAATACCTTTCAGATGTACTATCTGAAATGCTGACGTAGAATTTAGGAATATGTTCAAATGGAGAAATACTTCTGAGGCTCTGCCACTTCAAATGACATTTGCTATACGTTTAACACATATTATTTACTGCCACACCGTATTCTTATGATAGTGGTTTTCTGTGGTGAAAAAAAGAAAGAGATTCACTCATCAAATGGTGAGGAGCAGCCTAAAGCTGTTTCAAGTGTCTGTGAAATCTGACCTTGTGTTGATTACCTTCCAGTACTTTGAAATTAGGAATTCATTTTTGGAATCAAGTCAGAACTCACCGCTCTTGGTTGTGGGTGGCCTATTTCAGTTTATTTGTTCAGCTTGCTTGAAATCCTCTTGAGTTTCTGGATATGGCTGGAAAAAGAAGGAAATGTAAGGGAACGGAGATTTCCTAGGTTCTTGGCATTTGTTCCTATGAAACCTTTCATAAAAAATGCTACTAGCAAAATTTAATTTGCTTTGAAAGCAAAGAAAGCATCATTAAATATCAGCTGTTGAGTTTAATATACCAGGAAGTTCCTGAAGTCATCAGGACTAGCACCTATTTTAATTATCTGAGCATTTCTACATTCTCGTTTCAGTGATAAAAACTGACATTTTAAAAAATTGTTGTTTAAGTGGCCATGTCTCTCCTATTTTTATATGCTGAACAAGTAACAGTGTTCCTATAAATTGTTGTTTAAGTGGCCATGTCTCTCCTATTTTTATATGCTGAACAAGTAGCAGTGTTCCTATAAATTCTTTCCAAGAAATAAGTTCCACTGAGTTTAGTGAGACAAATAGACACAGAATTCAAAATGCTTTGTGAAACAGAACTGGTAAAGAGAATAGTAACCTTGACCTACTGTTTACATCCCAGTTCTTTGAAGCATCATGTCAGTGTACTTTTCTTAGATATGCAATGCTTGCATAACCTTGATTTCTACTTTTGTAGATGATGGACTACAGTTTCATTTTCTGCAAATCTTTCAAATGCATAGCCCTATTCCATATTAGTTTGCTCTAGTTTTAGTGTGGTTATAAGCTACCTTGGATCCCTTGCCAGGAGAAAGGCATTGTTGGGGAAATGGGAACCAAAACCTAAAAAGTTTTGGTTCTCATTTCATTGAGTTGTTTTTTGTTCTCCTGCACTTTGCTTTTGTTTGGCACATATATTTCCTGCTTCTTTGAAAGAGATCTTCAGAATACAGATTTTTTTAAAGTTAATCTTTGCACCTGTTTAAATTTCAGTGTATTCTTCAAAAAATAATCCTGGTATGGTATGTTGGCATGCGTTTTTTTTTTTTTTGGCTTAAATATACTATATGTGAATAGAATTCAAAGCCATACCCATTTTAGTGTGGGATGTCTACAGAGTCTGTGAAAGCTTATTCTACCAATGTCATTCACTAGGGTGCTACAGATCCCTTTATACACTTTGTGTTTTCTTCTAACAAGAGCACATTTGGAATATGAAGTACTGAATGTGTATTGTTTCACTATAGGTCTTCCAAGAGATATTTTGCTTCATAATGGTTTTTCTTCCCATAGTTCCTAATGTGGATCTTCCTCCACTCTGTTCATCAAGGTTTCGACCTGGACCTCCTGGGGAAGAGGCTCAGGCTGCTAGTCAGTTCATTGCAGATGTGATTGAAAAGTAAGAAATAGTGTGTTTAAATTCTTATGTGGATACCAAGAAAAATTGGATTTTCTTCTTCAGTGTGCCTCTTTCTCAGTTCACAGGTAGTGCCGAAAGAGGATCTCTGCATTGTAGATGGGAAGGTAAGTAGAATGTCAGGCTTTACATTATATATTGATTGGGCAATATCTCGACATCCAGGACCAGCCAGTTTCAGTTTATATTGAAAAATAAGGATGTTCCCACATGTGCTGTGGATATATAGATAAAATGGTGAATTATGCTTGCTGTGGATATATAGATAAAATGGTGAATTATACTCTGCTCACTATATTAGATTACAAGGCCAAATTGCATAGGAAAGATGTTGGATGGCAATGGAAACATTGGAAACATTGTGTATATCCTAATGGAATCACAATCTTCACTAATACTGATCCCAGCAAAAACTGGTTCATGTACCTATGACAGTCCAGACTTTCGTCACATTTAATACAGAGAAAAAGGTCTTCTCTTTAACATGCACTGAAGAAGTGTTAATGACTTTTCATGAGTGTATCCATTTTCAGTTTTGAGTGCTTTTTGAAGTAATGATGGCTATAGTTGGTGGCCGAAGTAGCTTCCAACCCAAAGCATTGATACCTATCCTAGGAAAGGTTTACCTGGTGGTGTCAAGTTTGCTGGGGAGAAGGATAAGAACCAAGCACTCCACCACCTAGGATTTTCTGTGTGTCCCCCTGATGCTGGACTACAACATCTGTATTCCTCATCATTAGGCACCATAACTATTGCTAATGCAATTTGTGATACAGTATTGGCTGGAAGGCTGCACTTCGTTCTGTTCAGTGAGGAGAGTAGGGTTTGTATTGAGATACAAGGTCTGTGGAGATGACGTCTGACTTTAACATGTCCTTTAACATTTCCCCAACCTCAGAACCACAAGAGCTGTTGGGTTGCAATTCACATTGTCCCCAGATTGCATGGATGGTGAGGACAGTTACCGCAACAGACTAAATTAAAAGGCATATGCTTTGACTGGCCTTTAGTCTGTTACACATAGGGACCTGTTGCATAAGGAAATGTTAGGTACCTCTTTGAAAAGTGTGTAACAACTACAACTGCTGATTGGACTTTTTGTACCCCCTTGGCTTTAATCTTTCCTGATCTTCCCATTACTTAAGTGAAATTAAGAATAGACATATTCTCTTACATGCTCTCTGCTCCAGTCAAACATAGCCAGTGACAACGAATGCTGGGAAATGCAGCCCAGAATTTGGATATTTGCATTTTGCTACCCGAATTGAACACTACTCTCCAGATGTTGGGATTTCAATTTTAAACATTTCTTGCCATTGGGGGAGGGGTACAAACCAAAGTGGGTACTTTATGCACCCAACTTTTGTTTCAGAATTAATCTGTGCATTGCAGTGACTCACATATCTACATTTCATAGTGCCTTTAGAGAGCATTCTCATGAAGTTTTCTTTCCTTAGATCGCTTGGGTTCTGTATTGTGATATTATATGCCTGGACTATGATGGAAACCTTCTAGATGCCTGCATTTGTGCTTTCTTAGCAGCTTTAAGAAATGGTAAGTTGCTTTCCAGCATTTACAAATGAATCAATGGATGCAGATTGACCACGGAGTTTCGGTGCCATCCAGTATGTTAAAATGAATGAAATAAGCTTCCTTGTGGAAGGTAGAACAGTATCAAGGGAGACATTAAGTAATGGTTGCTTACCTGTAACCATGTTTCTTTGAGTGGTCATCTGTGAAATTTGCACGTATGGTATTTTCTGTGCCTGCACAGTCAGATGGGTTCTTCTAGAAAGCTCTTGATATATTTTGACAGAAGCCCTGCCCACGCTCTTTTGTCTGCTGCTTTTGCAGCAGCTATGGAATCTCTCAGATCTGAGTAGCTTTTCTTTTTTAAAAATCTATTAAACAATTCTTACTGGACTGAGTTTTGTTTAGACCAGGACTGTTGACTACACTACATACCAGGCCAGTAATGGCATCTACCACATTTTTCAAGATTGCTTAGCCTATGGGAGTGGCCTAACACTGACAATGAAGAATCGGGGCTTGTGCCAGCAAAATATATCCTCCGGTAGTGGTAATAAACTAGATGTTTTAGAGCTGCATTATTGCTCTTACTAGCCCATTCGTCCAGAATACACAATATGCACCTGAGCCCCCAGTGGCTCAGCGGGTTAAACTGCTGAGCTGCTGAATTTGCTGACAAAAAAGTTTGCGAGTCGAATCCAGGGAGCAGGGTGAGCTCCCACAGTTAGCCCCAGCTTCTCCTAATCTAGCAGTTTGAAAATATGCAATTGTGAGTAGATCAATAGGTACTGCTCCAGCAGGAAGGTATCACCGTTCCATTTGAAGTGGCAGACAACGCCGGCTCTTCGGCTTAGAAATGGAGATGAGCACCACCCCTCAGAGTTGGACACGGCTAGACTTAATGTCAGGGGGAAACCTTTACCTATGCACCTATTAACATGGTGGTGGTGGAGATAGTTAAATCAATAGTCCGTCAGCCTTGCCTTGGTGGAAGACATTTCAGAGCTCTTCCCTTCTTCCATAAAGGCTAATATTCTGATGGTGGGTGGGTATAGAAAGTGCAGTAACAAATTCCTAATCCAGTAAATGTAACAGGGGAGAACCTTTTAAAAACTTGATGCAGAAGTCTTGTCCTGCTGTTTTCCCTTGGCAACCCTTGAATTGCAATTTCCGTTGGTTGCTTTTTCTCCCATTTTCTGTGAATTTGTTTTCCTGCAGTCAACACATTGTTCTATTCTTAATACAACTGATGCTTGATGTATTGTCGAGGGCTTTCATGGCTGGAATCCCTGGGTTGTTGTAGGTTTTTTTGGGCTATATGACCATGCTCTAGAACAGTGTTTCTCAACCTTGGGTCCCCAGATGTTTTTGGCCTACAACTCCCAGAAATCCCAGCTAGTTTACCAGCTGCTAGGATTTCTGGGAGTTGAAGGCCAAAAACATCTGGGGACCCAAGGTTGAGAACCACTGCTCTAGAACAAGGGTCCTCAAACTAAGGCCCGAGGGCTGGATGTGGCCCTCCAAGGTCATTTACCCGGTCCTCGCTCAGGGTCAACCTAAGTCTGAAACGACTTGAAAGCACACAACAACAACAACAACAATCCTATCTCATCAGCCAAAAGCAGACTCACACTTCCCATTGAAATACTAATAAATTTATATTTGTTAAAATTGTTCTTAATGTTAATTATTGTATTGTTTTTAAGTGTTATCTGCACTACAAATAAGATATGTGCAGTTTGCATAGGAATTCATTCATGCTTTTTCAAATTATAATCTGGCCCTCCAACAGTTTGAGGCACTGTGGCCTGGCCCTCTGTTCTAGAACATGGCCATATACCCCGAAAAAACCTACAACAACCCAACTGTTGCTTATCTTATGGATTCTTAATATCTAGCAGAGATATTGGTAGGTTACTCACCTGTAACCATGTTTCTTCGAGTGGGCCTCTGTGAATCCACACTTATGGAGAATCTGCGCCTGCGCAGGTCCCAAAGGAAAACTTTTCCAAGTTGAAACTTTTAAGTTTTGGCGGTAACCCCGCCCAGCCGCCCGCAGGGCATAAAAGGCGCCCCGCGCACGCGCTCCGCCATTCCTTACGCCGCCTAGCGAGGAATAAGGGGAGGTTTGTAAGGGGACGGCCGGGCGGGTTAGTGTGGATTCACAGAGGCCCACTCGAAGAAACATGGTTACAGGTGAGTAACCTACCATTTTTCTTCGTGGCCTCTGTGAATGCACACTTATGGAGAGCTAGCAAGCTAAGGTCCCGGCTGGTGGGAAGCAAACCGACACCAATTAAAGGACCAAAACATGTTTTATTGTGAATAAAGAGCCTGTATAGTACAGGAGAGTTTCACGTGTGCATAAGCATATGCAGTAGCAAGAACATAACTGTTGCATAAGCAAGCATACAATCAAACAAGGGGAAGAAACACATTCCCACATAGTTAGTTAACAGTACATAACCTGGTAGGCTTCCAAGTGGATGACTTACGTCATATCAGAGCAACTCCGGACTCGCCATGAGTCCAACAAGAGGTAACAAGACAGATAACAAGAAGAGGTATCAAAACATTAAGTACGTGCAAGTACCGAAAGTGTATTGCAGGCATATCATTTAAAAAATATGTTATACGGAAGAAACAAAGGCACTTTTGAACTTTCATACTCCCGGTACAGGAGGGAACCAGTGAAAAGTCCACACGATCAATGTACCCAACAGGGGTTGTCCAAAACACAGTCCCTACTGTACAGTAGTGCTGGTGTCCCGAAAAAGAGGACAACATAGGAAAGAAAACCACCCCGGTGAGCCCGAGTGACCATATTTATAGGGGGCAAGTCGACAGGATTGATTGACCGAAGGCGGTCTCCCGTCGAGAACGAGTGTCCAGCCGGTAGTGGGAAATGAAAGTCATTGGGCTAGACCAAATGGCCGCCCTGCAAATCGAGTCCAACGGGATCCCCCGCAGGAATGCTGTCGTGGCCACCATGGCCCTTGTCGACCTCGATTTAACCGTCGACGGTGGCGGCTTATGCGCCAGTTCATAACAGAGTTCGATCGTCGAGGCAATCCATCGAGAGAGTCTCTGGGAAGAGAGTGGTAGTCCCAGCTTGTCTGACGCATAAGCGACGAAAAGTCTGGGGGTCTTTCTCAGGGCAGCAGTCCTTTGTCTGTAAAACAACAATGCCCTTCGAACGTCGAGAGAATGCAATTTTTTCTCTGCTACAGATGAAGGGTTTTGGAAGAAAGCCGGCAGGACTACGTCCTCGTTGACATGGAAGGAGGATACCACCTTTAGTAAGAAAGTGATATCGGTTCTCAACACTACTCGATCGGTGTGAAAGAGCAGGTAGGGTTCGTTGACTCGCAACGCCGCCAATTCTGAAGGTCTACGTGCCGACGTGATGGCGACCAGGAAGGAGACTTTCCATGAAAGTAGGCGAAGGTCTGTTGCGGCCAAGGGCTCGAAGGGGGGACCCGTTAGCTGGGAGAGCACGATGTCGAGGCTCCATCCCAGCGTCGGTGGGTGAACCGGTGGATTAAGATGGTTGTAAACTCTTAAGAAGGTCTTGATGAGATGGTTGCTGAAGAGTGAGGGAGCACCTAACCTTTGGAAGTACCAGGAGAGTGCTGCAACGTAGGACTTCAAGGAAGCCAGGGTAAGTTTCTGAGTCGTCAGAGACAAAAGGAAGTCCAAAACCGTCTGTATCGGCGGAGGAAACTCCGAAATCGCCCGATGCCGGAGGAATTCTCGGAGGCGCCCAATACGGTATGCATACGCTCTCGATGTCGAAGGCTTGTGGGCTGCTTCAAGGATCGATCTGAGCTCGGTTTCATGAATTTGTTGAGTGCCCTGAGGTCGAGAATTGGTCGAAGGGAGCCATCCGGCTTTGGTACCGTGAAGTACCTGGAGAAGAAGGCACGACTGTCTAAACGAGACGGAGATCTTCAGATCGCCCCTTTTTTCAGCAAGTAATCGACTTCTGCCAAGATCGGAGGAGACGCTCAGTTCGAACAATGCGTCCAGTTGAAGGTAAGTCTTTGAACTGCAACGCATAGCCGTCTCGAACAATTTTCAGCACCCATGCATCGGATGTGATATGGTGCCAGGCCTGTATAAAAGTCCTTAGACGGTCTCCAAACTTGACCAGATTGTCGATTACAGTGTCGGGAAGGCATACCGACGAGGGCAAGGTCGGCACGGCAGAAGTAACGGACATGGAGTCGGTATCGTCGGGGAAAACGTCAAACCCGACGTCTAGAGTTGGCGTTGTTTTGTGTCTGGTGAGTTTGGGACCTCTGTGGCTGTTGAACTCGGCGCTGCTCTTGTTGTTGCTGCTGGGGTTGTGCCTGGGCTGACGGAAGCGGACGAGGCGCCTGCCTGGTCGATTGATGGCGGTAGGACCCGAAGTGTCATTGACGGTATCCGTACCACCGTGTGCGCTGAGTTTGCGGATGCGTCTCAATCCCACATTTTGAGGCAAGGATCTTATAGTCCTGGTTTGACTTTAACTTATCGTCTGTTCCGGCATTGAACAATCCCAGAGCATCGAAGGGAAGATCCTCGATGACTTGGCGGGATGACGAGGACAGACCTGAGGAACACAGCCAGGAGTGCCTTCGAATAGCCACGGCATGGGCAATCATCTTGCCCGCAGTGTCTCCTGTGTGTTTAGCCATCTGCATTTGATGGTGGGCCAGAGAGGTTGTTTCCTGTGATAGCGCAGAAAGGACTGCTAGATCTTCATCCGACATCTTAGCCAGGAAAGGTTGAGCCTTTTCCCATATAATTTGTTGGTAGGCTCCCATGCAGGCTCCATAATTGGCCATTCTCGCCAAGAGGAGGGCTCCCGAGTACAGTTTCCTGCCTACGGCGTCGAAACGCTTCCCTTCCCGGTCCGATGGTGAGTTAGATTGTCTTTCGGACTGGGATGCTTTGACCACCACTGAGTTCGGGTCTGGGTGGTGCTTGAGCCACTCAAGCCCCTCGTCATCTGTGTGGTACCAGGCTTCGATGCGCTTGGATGTCGGTGGAATCGAGGAAGGAGTCTTCCACGATGCTTGTATCACCTCTAGTAGATAAGGGAGGAAGGGTAGAAGAGGAGCTGGGGGCGCCTCAGACTGTACCCTTTTAAACACGGGATCGGTCACAGCTTTTGATGTCTGCTTGACCTCGAGACCGAGTGTTTCGGCCATCCTGGCCATCTGGTCGGTGAAAGCTCGAACGTTGTCAGTGGGCGATGGAGGGTCCGCCTCGTAAGCATCGTGTGTCGGTGACTCAAAAAGATCTCATTGTGGGTGTCTACTACAGATCTCCAAGCCAGGAGGAAGAACTTGATGAAGTCTTCTGCCAACAGTTGACCAAACAGGCACAGAGAAGAGATGTAGTAGTCATGGGCGATTTCAACTATCCCGGTATTTGCTGGAAAACAAACTCGGCCAAGAGTACAAGGTCCAACCAATTCCTCGCTTGCCTTGCAGACAATTTCATGGTCCAGAAGGTAGAAGAGGCAACAAGGGGATTGGCTACTCTCAATCTCATCTTAACAAATGCGGAGGACCTGATTGATGTGGTTGAAGTGGTTGGATCCTTAGGGGCAAGTGACCGTGTGCTCCTGCAATTTGAGGTACAAAGGAAGGCCGAAACTAAGACAAGTCAAACCCGCATTTTGGACTTTAGGAGAGCTGATTTCCGAAAAATAAAGGAAACACTGAGCAGCATTCCATGGACACAGATACTAAAAGACAAGGGAGTTACGGATGGATGGGAATTTCTCAAGAGTGAAATACTCAAGGCGCAATTGCAAACTGTGCCAACAAAGAGAAAAAATAGGACAAGAGCAAAGAATCCAGAATGGATGTCCAAAGAACTTCTAACTGTGCTAAAACGCAAAAGAGACATGCACAAGAAGTGGAAAAAGGGAGAAATCACTAAAGAAGAATTCAAACAAATAGCCAACACCTATAGCCAACACCAGCAGCAGCAGCAGTCTAGCCCAACCTACCTTATCACCTTGTGCTGCCTCCTTCACCTCCTCTCTGAAAGTTTTGATGGAGGGAAACCCGTATTCCTTCTGTAAAGGGATTTCAAGAGTTGGGAGTTGAATCAACCCAGGCAAAGTTGAGAGGTAGTAACTCCGAAGTTTACGTAGTTTTCCTATTAGTTTCTTGTTATTTCAAAGGCTGGATGAGCATCTGTTTTGCTGCCTGGCAGAAGGGAATTGGACTGAAGGGCCCCAGAAACTGGGGTGTGGTGGGGGCAGGGGTAACAGTGGCATTTGTTCAACCATTGTAGCAAATTTCATCCTAATAGCTCTAAAAATGAGAAAGGAGCCTGGAAGCTCCCCCCACTTGCACTATTACATAGCGAAAAATTACTGGAAATTTCGTTATATCGTTATAGCTAGTATACGAACCCTTACAATATTTTAGAAACACTTTTTATACATCACACAGGTCTAATAACCTTACATTGAGCTTTCTTTTCATGCACCCTAGTTTTCTTTTTAAAAGAAAGATAACCAACTTTGATTGTATATTATCTTTCTAATCAGTGCAGTTACCTGCTGTTACAATGAATGAAGAAACTGGATTGGCAGAAGTTAACTTGAAAGAGAAGATTCCTTTGACAATTAGGAAGGAACCAGTGGCTACATCCTTTGTTCTCTTTGAGTAAGTGGCTGCCGACAGTTTCCTAATAGTTTTTGACATTGATGGGTGTTGGTGATGAGCATGCCACAACAATACTGTAAAAGGAACAATTAATGCAAAGATGGATGATGTAGAATGCAACCAGCCCTCCTCTTTTGTGGATCTGATTAAATTCTAGGTTCTCCAGTGCGATTCCGTAGTCAACTTTGACCACTGAATTGTGCTGGAGGACCCAGAGAGATGTTCTTTCAGGTAAAACAAAATACTTATTTTTTTATTTGTGGTTTTTCACTTTTGTGGGGGTTTCTGTGCCCCTAACTCCAGATAATGTGACGGCTGGCTGTAGTGGCTGTAAGGAAGTTTCAACTGTGGCCTCCTCCAACTGTATTGGCCCTGTTTCTTTACCAAGGGGCATCACCTTAATACTCCTTGTCTGGAAGAATCTTTTTGTTAGAGAAACAATGGGACCTCAGTGTTCTAATTCACAGTCATTTGTACAAAATTGGGATTTATTCCACAAGAAATCTATGATATGATCCTTTTGCTATATGATGTTAAAGGAGTAGTTTTGATGTCCTTGTTTGTCTGATAATCTAGTGCATTCTTGAAAATAGCAGTTATTTTGGTTCAGGTCCTTTACCGTGAATATATGTAAATATGTATTTATGAAACATCACTCTACAACAGAATTTTCAATGTATTTTCTCAAAAGCACAGTAATGATAGTTGATCCAACTGCAGAAGAGGAAGACTTGGCAACAGGCATGTTAACTGTAGTCACTGATGAAGAAGGCAAACTATGTTCAGTTCATAAACCAGGTACTGTGCCAAATTATAAGTTGCCATAGCATTTACTTCATCTATATAGTTACATCTCATTATAAACTCGGCAGACCCTTAGTTAACCAGCACCATGGAGAATTGGTAGATGCCAAATAAATGTAGTCTCTGGCTGTTTGAGAGTTACAATTAAAGATAGGTGTCATACTATACATACCAGAAACTTTATATTGGCTTGATATTGCTATTTAAATATGTGTATTAAAGAAAAATGTAATGTAACATACTTTTCTGGTATTATAAAACAGCTTTTAAAAATTCAATTTTACCACTTGCTTAGAGTTCTGGTTGCTTGAGTTCTAGTTAACTGGGAGTTCACTCTACTTGAGTCAAACAGCAGTTGTTCAAGGAAGTAACGTGTGGGCCACTTAAAAAGCTGTCACTTGAATCTGTGGTGCATAAATTTACTCCAGAAAGAAAGAGAAATCTTCAGTTTATTTAGAAGCCACCTGAGAGGAATTGTCCAGTATTAGATTGAATGTGTTCTTTTCTATTTTGTCCAGTATTAGATTGAATGTGTTCTTTTCTATTTCTTTCAAAGGAGGAAGTGCCCTCACAGGAGCAAAACTTCAAGACTGTATCAGCCGGGCAACAGCACGACAGAAGGAAGTTAAAAAACTAATTGACAAAGTTATAAAAAGCATAAAACCAACATAAAGAATGCCTCTCTGTAAAGTTGAAATGTACAAAGTATTTGTGATAAGGTCAATCCATTATTTACACAAATAGAACATTTGTCAACTCCAGTTTATAATCCTGCTTGAAAAATAATAAATACAATGTTTCCAGGTTGGTAAATTGCACACGGTGTAGTTATCCTATTTATTTAATTTTCATTACAAAAGAACTTGATGTATAAAACTGGTTAGTTGCATTAAGAAGATTGCAAGCATAAATGTAATACCAAGTTCAATTTTATCAGAAAACTCTTTATTTGATTTTATTTAAAAACCTATAAATATACATATCCAACAAATATTTTACAAATTATGGGTGCCTGACAAAAAGTTGAGCTGCTTGTACTGTTGCCACCTCTGTTGTCGTAACCATTTGAGGGTTGAAGAGCTGTCACTGCTGCCAAGGGAGGAGAAGGAGAAGAAAAGAATCTGAATCAGAAACTTGCAAGCCAATTGGGTACCTAATAAACAACTTTCCCTAGTACAGTCTGTAGGGTATTAGAATTTTTTAAAACTATGGGTTTCACTTGTCTGACAAATGATGGAAGTGATAATATAAACATGAATTCATGATTCTGAAAACTCATGAATTCAGATACTGTTGATGATTGTTGCACAAAAGCTGCCTGTTCTAGTTGAAATACAGGTTGAGCATTTTGGATTTTGGAATAGCTATATTTTCATATGTACATAATGAAGTTTTGGAGAAGGGATCCAAGTCTAACCACAAAATTCACTTATGTTTCCTCTAAACCTTTTATACATTTAAAAAAAATTCAAAGTACAATGTTAGGATGTAATAAAAACCTGCTATATTTCCCAGATATGTTTTGTAAAATTGATTAGACAAAAGAAAGATTTTAATGAACTAGGGCTACTTCTACTTCTTCCACTTTCCAAAGGATAACTGTTCTTGTTGAAGGATCCACTTGAATCTAATAACTGGCGGATTTACTATTCTATACTTGGACATAAGTCAAATCCCCCAGCTAAATTCCACCATCCCTAAATTCAGACTAATATGTGGCTACATTTCAGTTATCCAATGCCATTTCCAGTTGGCTGGAAGTGTTAAGGGAAAAACAATAACTCAACTGTGAAAATGTAAATCTATAGGAGGACCTGCATAGATGGGAGATCCTGACTCCGGACATTAGATTATGTACAGTGAGCAAAAAAATCTGAATAAATGGGCACCCGGAAATCCTAGGAGAACTGAATTCTCTATCCATTTACTACTATAGTTCCCCTGGGCCAGAAGATGAGGTATCTAAAGAGTTTGCTATAACTGAAAAACAGAATTATAACAACTTTCTATAAGGATGCTTTCTGAATCCTTACTCCAGTCAGGTCAACAACAACAGTCTGCTGAGCAATGCCTGGTCTGGCTTTGTGGGGATCTGTTCCAAACCATGGTAAAGAAAGGTGGACTCACAGAATGTGAAAGTGACACAGAAGGAGGACATATCCTCAATTGAAAATGTAACTGGGTTTTGAGACACATGTTCTGAGAAAAGAACAATTCTCAAAACACTTCTTGGATTGATGAAGACAGCTCTTTGCAAACCATGTTTAGCAAACACTGAACCCATTCTCAGTAATATTCTCTTCACTCTTCAGTGGTTACTACCTCACCCGCTTTCTGGCAGGACCTTTACATTAACTTCTTTCTTCTTCGTGTCGTCTGTGAAATTCGCACATGCGCAGCAATTTCGGACCCTTCTAGCCCTCAATTAAGCGTTTTGGCGGGAGCCCCGCCCATCCTCCCATGAAATATATATGCTCTTGGGTGGGGCTACGCCTCAGTTCCTCTTTCCGCATGACAGTAGCAACACAGAAATTTTTCTCTCCATTACCGTACCTCACTCTTGGACCATTGAGTCCCTCGATGACGCTGCCCTCTCCAACCCTGACCACAGATTGGCTATGGATAAGGCTTGTGGGACTAACCTCCCGGACACTGATAGACATACAAAATGCCTTTTGTGCCTGGGCAAATCCCATAACCCCCAATCCTGCGAGATTTGCAGAGCCTTTACCAACCAGGCTCGTAAAAATGGATTCGTGCCTAAAAGCCCTTCTTTATGACCAGGCCCTAGCGCCTGAAAATGATAGGCATCCTGCCCACCCTTCGGCCGACCAACCGATACCTCCCTTAACTCTGGGAGAGCAGTCATCCCAATCTCCGCTTAATGCAGATAATACGCCGCGGCTGCTACTTTTTTGGCTGAACTACCTTGTAAAAAGGCGAGGCTGTCCAAACAATCTACCCACCAGGCCAAATCAAAGTCAAAAGACAAACAAAATAAATCTTAAGTGACGGCAACTCACTGGCAACCAACCCTTGAGCCCTCCCCCGCTCAAACTGACTTCCCAGCCTTTACAAGCCTTACAAACTGGGCAAGAATCCTCAGCCTCCTTTTTGGAAATCAAAGAGCCACCGCAGCTCCTGCTACTTGAACTCCTCTTCCTCCCCGGAGTTGTGGTCTCGATCCTGGAGTCCTTCACACTCCTCATCGAGATACTCCCAACATCCTCCTGACCCACACTTCCACTATCCTTATGAATATCCATTTCCTTTATATTCCCCCCTCCATTCCCTATATATCCTGGCTTTTACCCACAAGGAGATTCATACCACCCACAACCTTCACCTAACCCCCTGGTGGGCTAACAAATCCACCACTCTTCCTCTTCCAACCCCATGCCGGTGGTTCCCCTGCTCTCCTCTAAACCCAGCACCATCTCCACCCCATCCAACCCCTTCTCACCAAGACCTCCAGCCCAAAGGCAATACCATCGATCCAGATTCCTGTAACAACACCCCACCTTCAGCACTTGCCTACAAATGGGCAGAAAAAGAACCAGCTCCTCAAATTAAGGCCCACTTGACGAGGTCAATTTCTGCATCCCAAGCCTTCTTATGAGGCATCTCCATTGAAAACATCTGCAAAGCAGCAACCCTCTACATTTGCTGCCCACTACAAACTTGATGTCCTTCCTAAGAAGGATGCAGTGTTCAGCAGAGCTGTACTATTCTCCTGCGTGGCATGACCCACCTCTAGGTTTGTGGCTTGCTAGTCACCCAACTGTGTGCATTTCACAGACAACACAAAGAAGTATAGGTTGTTTACCTGTAACCATATTTCGAGTGTCTCTGTGAAATTCACACAACCCAGCCATCCTCCCCTCTCATGTCATGCCTTGGTACTTTATTGCTGTCTAGCGGCGAGGAACTGAGGCGTAGCCCCGCCCAAGGGCATATAATAATAATAATAATAATAATAATAATAATAATAATAATAATATAAACTGTATTTATACCCCACCACCATCTCCCCCCACGGGGACTCGGGGCGGCTTACATGAGGTCAAGCCCAGACAACAGATTACAGCAAAATAAAACCAAAACACAAGCAGCAACGTAATTATATAAAAACATATGAATACATTAGCAATATAAAACTACAATAAACACAATCACAATGACATTGGGTAGGTCACATGCGCAGGATAAAACGTTAAAAAACTCGGGTGAGGTGAAAGAAGGAGCAGGTTATTTGCAAAGGGGAGCTCATAAAATGGGGTTGTGGAACCAAGCTTTCCCACGAGGGGGACATGTACTCAAGTGACAGAAACATTGAGGGGAGCAGTAGTGTCAAGTTGTGTACCTGCTCACCAAAGGCGCAGTGGAAGAGCCAGGTTTTAAGGTTCTTTTTAAAGGTTTCTAGGGTAGGGGCTTTCCTGATCCCTCCGAGTAATGAGTTCCAGAGCCAGAGAGGAGAAGGCTCTCTCCTTTATGCCCACAAGATGAGCTTGTGAAGCTAGCAGGGGTGAAAGGAGGGTCACCCCCAAAGATCAAAGGGTTGGTTCATGGAGGGAGATACGGTCACTAAGGTAGATGAGTCCCAAACCATTTAGGGCTTTAAAGGTGATAACCTGCACCTTGAATTGGGCCCGGAAAATAAACGGCAGCCAGTGGAGCTTCTTAAACAGGGGGGTGGACAGCTCCCTGTAACTAGCCCGAGTTATTAATCTGGCTAGAGGTAACTAAGGCATGGTCCACCATGGTCAAGTCAGACTTCATGAGGTAAGGTCGCAGTTGACACGAGTTTTAATTGTGCAAAGGGCATCCCAGCCACCACCAACACCTGTGCATCAAGCGTCAGCGCTGAATCCAGGAGGACTCCCAAACTGCGGACCTGTGATTTCAGGGGGAGTGCAACCTCATCCAGCACAAGTTGCCACCCAATACCCCAGTCAGACGGGTGACTGACCTGGCGGACCTCTGTCTTGTCAGAATTGATCCTCAGCTTGTTTGTCCTCATCCAGATCATCATAGCGGCCAGACACTGGTCCAGTATCCAAGGGCCTTCCTTGGAGTCTGGCGGAAATAAGTAGTGGAGTTGGGTGTCATCTGCATAGAGATGGCACTGTACTCCAAAACTCTGGATGACCTCTCCCAGCGGTTTCAGGTAGATGTTAAATAGCATGGAGGACAGAATAGAACCATGCGGGACCCCACAGGTCACGGCCAGGGGTCCGAGTAGGAATCCCCCAGCTTCACTAACTGGGAACGATCCTCCAGGAAGGACCGGAGCCACAGTAAAACCATGCCTCCGAGTCCCATCCCAGCGAGTCTCCTCAGAAGGATACCATGGTCGATGGTATCGAAAGCCGCTGAGATATCCAAGAGAATGAGCAGGGTCACACTCCCCCTGTCCACTTCCCTGTGAAGGTCATCCATCAAGGCGACCAATGTCCTCATGGGAGGATGGTGGGGCTCCTGCAAAAACTCTAATTCAGCGCTAGAAGGTTCCGAAATTACTGAGCATGCGCAGGGGAAACCCATGTGTCTGAATTTCACAGACCGACACTCAAAGAAATACGATTACAGGTAAGCAACCAATACTTATATTCAATGGGTAATCAAACCCAATAGTGTCAGCTCTGATGGCCAACAACTTCCCAGGGTTTAGGGATGCTGTCCAAGCCCTAACTGGAGAGTCGAGGGATTGGACTTAGGCCTTCTGCTTGCACAGCATGTACTACACACCATGAAGTTTACTAATGACACAACTCCCAGGAGTCTGAGCCAGTATGGGCAATGTTTAGGTTCTGGGAGCTGAAGTCCATAGATTCATAGAATCAAAGAGTTGGAAGAGACCTCATGGGCCATCCAGTCCAACCCCCTGCCTAGAAGCAGGAATAATGCATTCAAATCACCCCTGACAGATGGCCATCCAGCCTCTGTTTAAAAGCTTCCAAAGAAGGAGCCTCCACCACACTCCGGGCAGAGAGTTCCACTGCTGAACAGCTCTCACAGTCAGGAAGTTCTTCCTCATGTTCAGATGGAATCTCCTTTCTTGTAGTTTGAAGCCATTGTTCCGTCCTAGTCTCCAGGAAAGCAGAAAACAAGCTTGCTCCCTCCTCCCTGTGGCTTCCTCTCACATATTTATACATGGCTCTCATATCTCCTCTCAGCCTTCTCTTCTTCAGGCTTAAGCCGCTCCTCATAGGGCTTGTTCTCCAGACCCTTGATCTGGAGAACAATGTGTCCTCTGGACACATTCCAGCTTGTCAATATCTCTCTTGAATTGTGGTGCCCAGAATTGGACACAATATTCCAGGTGTGGTCTAACCAATGCGGAATAGAGGGGTAGCATTACTTCCCTAGATCTAGACACTATGCTCCTATTGATGCAGGCCAAAATCCCATTGGCTTTTTTTGCCACCACATCACATTGTTGGCTCATGTTTAACTTGTTGTCAATGAGGACTCCAAGATCTTTTTCACACGTACTGCTCTCGAGCCAGGCATCGTCCCCCATTCTGTATCTTTGCATTTCATTTTTTCTGCCTAAGTGGAGTATCTTGCATTTGTCACTGTTGACCTTCATTTTGTTAGTTTTGGCCCATCTCTCTAATCTGTCAAGATCGTTTTGAATCCTGCTCCTGTCCTCTGGAGTATTGGCTATCTCTCCCAATTTGGTGTCGTCTGCAAACTTGATGATCATGCCTTCTAGCCCTTCATCTAAGTCATTAATAAAGATGTTGAACAGGACCGGGCCCAGGACGGAACCCTGTGGCACTCCGCTCGTCACTTCTTTCCAAGATGAAGAGGAAGCATTGGTGAGCACCCTCTGAGTTCGTCCATTTAACCAATTACAGATCCACCTCACCGTAGTTTTGCCTAGCCCACATTGGACTAGTTTCCTTGCCAGAAGGTCATGGGGGACCTTGTCGAAGGCCTTACTGAAATCCAGGTACGCTACATCCACGGCATTCCCCGCACCTACCCAGCTTGTAACTCTATCGAAAAAAGAGATCAGATTAGTCTGGCATGACTTGTTTTTGATAAATCCATGTTGACTATTAGCAATGACCGCATTTGTTTCTAAGTGCTTGCAGACCACTTCCTTAACAATCTTTTCCAGAATCTTGCCTGGTATCGACGTGAGGCTGAGGTACTTGTTTGGCTCATCCTTTTTTCCCTTCTTGAAGATTGGGACCACATTGGCCCTCCTCCAATCTGCTGGAACTTCTCCTGTTCTCCAAGAACTCTCAAAGATGATTGCCAATGGTTCCGAAATGACTTCCGCTAGTTCCTTCAATACTCTTGGGTGTAGTTGATCTGGCCCTGGGGACTTGAACTCGTTTAGAGCAGCCAGGTATTCCTGGACGACTTGTTTCCCAATTTGGGGTTGGATGTCCTCTAATCCCTCACCCACTCCATCTTGCTGAGGTTGAAGATGACTTTCTTTTTGTGAGAAGATCGAGGCAAAGAAGGCATTAAGTAGTTCTGCCTTTTCCTTTTCCCTACCCCCTGTCAGCATTGCCCCATCTTCTCCTCGAAGAAGTATCGCCTCCTTGTTTTTTCTTTTTCTACTGACATAAGAAAAGAAGCCCTTTTTATTGTTTTTAATGTCCCTGGCAAGCCTGAGCTCGTTTTGTGCTTTAGCCTTGCGGACCTTTTCCCTACAGGTGTTGGCTATTTGTTTGAATTCTTCTTTGGTGATTTCTCCCTTTTTCCACTTCTTGTGCATGTCTCTTTTGTGTCTTAGCACAGTTAGAAGTTCTTTGGACATCCATTCTGGCTTCTTTGCTCTTGTCCTATTTTTTCTCTTTGTTGGCACGGTTTGCAATTGCGCCTTGAGTATTTCACTCTTGAGAAATTCCCATCCATCCGTAAATCCCTTGTATTTTAGTATCTGTGTCCATGGAATGCTGCTCAGTGTTTCCTTCATTTTTCAGAAATCAGCTCCAAAATGCGGGTTTGACTTGTCTTAGTTTCGGCCTTCCTTTGTACCTCAAATTGCAGGAGCACATGGTCACTTGCCCCAAAGGATCCTACCACTTCAACCGCATCGATCAGGTCCTCCACATTTGTTAGGATGAGATCAAGAGTAGCCAACCTCCTTGTTGCCTCTTCTACCTTCTGGACCATGAAATTGTCTGCAAGGCAAGCGAGGAATTTGTTGGACTTTGTACTCTTGGCCGAGTTTGTTTTCCAGCAAATATCGGGATAGTTGAAATCGCCCATGACTACTACATCTCTTCTCTGTGCCTGTTTGGTCAACTGTTTGCAGAAGACTTCATCAAGTTCTTCCTCCTGGCTTGGGTCTGTAGTAGACGCCTACAACTACATCTTTTTGAGTCCCAGTTCCCTTGATTCTTATCCAGATGCTTTCAAGCTGGTTTCCCGGATTGCTGTCTTCCATCTCTTCTGCAGTGTAACAGTTTTTGACATATAAGGCTACTCTGCCTCCTCTCTGCTTTGTTCGGTTTCTGTGAAAGAGGTTATAGCCCTCGATGTCTACATTCCAGCGATAGGAGTCATCCCACCAGGTTTCAGTGATGCCTATGATATCATATTTGTGGTGTTGTGCTAAAAGTTGGAGTTCGTCATGTTTATTTCCCATGCTCTGTGCATTAGTGTAAAGACATGTGAGCCCCTGAGATCTTCCCCTGAGCTGTTTAATTGGGATTATTGTGCTTTCGGTACTTGGTCCTTTTTGTGTTTGTGCAGCCCTCTGTTTAGCCTTCTGGCGGTTCCCTGACATTGTGGGTAAAGTAGTGTTCGCAAGGCTGTTGTCCCCCTCCCCCAGTAGACCTAGTTTAAAGTGTGCCTAATGAGCTTTGCGAGTCTGTGAGCTAAAAGGTGTTTTCCTGCTTGTGTGAGATGCACCCCATCTCTTGCCAGTAGGCCATCCTCCTGGAAAAGCAGGTCATGGTCAAGGAAGCCAAAGCGTTCCTCCTGACACCATTTTCTAAGTCCAAAATAAACGAAAGACTCTAGACCACTGCTCTAGAGAAACAAATCTGTGGTCTTCAGCATATTCCAAATAAATGGAACATAAATAAATATGTTCCAAATAAATGCTGAACAGATTTGGAGACAAAATAGGCTCTTTCTTGAGAACTTGTACCCATTCGTGTAAAGTGAACTACCACATATAACAATCCCTTTCAGAGGTTTTCCCCTCAACTAGTCTATGATAATAAATCAACATGTTTATTGCACAAGACCATGGCAAATAGCTGTAAATGTACAGAATAATATCTTCATAGTAAATAAACAGAAGACACCAAACAAAAGTTATCCTGCTCCCACAAAAAATAAAACAATGCATATACCGGGGGGGGGGGGGGGTGAGGAATAAAATTAGCACCTTGAGTCTCCATGGCAATTTTATCTAACTTTCTCTTTTAGACTTTTTTGCAGCCAAAGCAAAAGGAGAGTTCCCATTTTATTTGCCAGCAAGGATTTCAAGTATTTCTCTAGGGTCGTTGTACAGAAGACAATTTAACATGGAATGTATAATGTTTTCCACCTGACTGGTTACAGATGCATACTTTTCCAATTCCCTATTATTAAATAATCTATATATCATTAAACAATACTGAGCTAGAATTCTGGCTAACTCAGTCTATAGCAACCTCAACATTTTATTTTTACGTTTAAAAAATCTTTAGCCTACCTCTCCAGGTTTTGGTTTCAGCTGTGGTTATTTTAATTGTTCCCATGTACAATTATCACAAATAGCCAACTGGCACTCTGTTTTGGGATATACAAAGGTGGCCCACACAACTATACATATAGGTTCATAGATCAAAGGTACATTTCTTAAGTGTAACCGTAGCCCATTAAAAAAACCCTTTTGGATAGCATAGTTAACAATCCCGGAATGTTTCTTTTGTTGCCTGTGCCCCTGTTAAGAAGATTTCCCTTCACTTTCTCTCCTTGTGACAACTAGATTTTGAACATTTTGACTTGCCATGGAAACAAGGATTGGCAATAAAGCTTCAGTGAAAACACCTTTACCCCATGATAACTCTTAGAAGAGTAAATTTCCATTCCTAGGAATAGATTTCCTGTCACTTCCTATTGCCTCACACCTGTCTGTCACTAGGAATCGTATGTAAGTTGGATGTTTGTAACTTTGGGATATATGTTGGATATTATTTTAGATAAATATGCCTACTTGATCTCCCTGTTGTTGAGAACTTGAAATTGGAGGTGGTTGGGATGAGAACTGGGAGAGTTGTTGCTGCTGCAAAGGGTTGAAAATCAGTGAGCCGTCTTGAAGCTGTTCAAATTTAAAGATGGGGCAGAGATCAGGTTGTATTCTTATAAGACAAGCACAAAGAAAGAGACAGACTTAAACTTTTTATTCTGGTGCCCCCCCCCCCCAAAATAAAAAACCCAAAACTTGTGCCTGTTCGCCCAGTCACTTCACCAGATAGAAAATCATTCTAAATCCTATCTCATTAGTAGTATATGCTCAGCATAAAACTTCAGCTTTTGTGGAACATGTCACAAAGTAAGAGTAGGGAAAGACTAAACCAAAACATGCTACACCGTAGTATTCAAACCAGAATGTGTGGATTTTCTCCTATAAGTCCCTTTATTTTCTCTAAATTTTCTTTCAAAATAGCAAACAGATGTCCATAACTCTTAACTGTGAGAAGAGTGGTTGGTTGAAGGGACTGAATGAAAAAGTTTCTGGAAGTATGAATATGAAGAACCCCACTGCAAATCTCCAAAGTAGTGTAGATTTTTAGTGCCCAGGCATACTTCCCCAATTGTCTGTTTTTCATGTCCTCTTTGCAATGTTTTTTTTTAAATCCCCATCCCATTTTAACATTGTGTTTTCTTTCCTATAATAAAGGAGGCAAACATCCTTACATCTATAGGAAGTTTAAGTGAAAGGAAAGCTTTTCAACTGAATCAATCTTTTAATCACCAGTGTAAGCATATGGACTTATTTCCTCGACATCTATTCATACAAAAAGTACAAAACTTGGTTCAAAGTATCTCACTATTCAATTTACCTGCAGTAGATTCAGAGAATGAAGACCTGGACCATTTGTTAAACTCAAAGGGCCACCTGCTGAAATTAGACAAAATAAAACTAATTATTTTTCACAACAGTTTTGCTGAATGATCATAATGAAATTATTATACATCAAAGGCTATGTCAACCATTTCAAACAAAGGTTTTCTGTCATTGAGTCAGCTTAAACATAGATACAGTAAAGAGAAAAATTCCTGAGTTACAATAATTTTTTCTATTCAACTAATAAAGTCCAACGGAAAGGTGGAACACATCTACAGGGAATCAGCTAAAGCGATAGCCTTAGTCCATTTCCTCTCTGGTGTGAAGTCTGAAGGGGAAAAGTGTAAAACTGGTATAAAACATGGATTATATATTTATGTATTGTGCCGACTCCATCAAAATGTTAAAGGAGAGGTAGAAAATCATTACAAAATACATGTCAGTGGAAAGATAGAATAAAAATGGAAAATGTTGTAGTAGCAGATAAAACAATCCAGATTATGTTCTATAAATGCCACTACACCAACTGAAAATGCCTAGGTAAGAAGAGCTATTTTGTTGGGTATTGGAAACTCCTGAAGTGGTCACCAGGCTCAGACCTAGAAAGACTTTCTAAAGATGGTGCATCAACACAAAAACACAATTCAATGACTTAAGTCACATTATCTGCAGAGTGTTCCTGCTATCTCTTATGAGCTGAAAGGGGTGGGGGATTGGGAAATGGAAAAACCAAATGCCTAGACAGGGATCCCCCACTTTTCAATTATTTTTGTTTCTCTCAACTATTTCGATAGATCTAAATTACAGTCATGCACATACTTTCAACCTCTGCTCCACTCTTTTGACCCATCAAGTCAAGCATGCCAAATTGGTGCCATCAAGTATTCAGTACTGCATTTGTAAGCTAAAATAACATGGTTTCACTTTTCAACCACTTCCACTTTTTGACAATGCCCCTAACCTGTCAACTAAGCAGGAAACATGTATACATTAATTTCTTCAGTAACTGAGTTAAGATGTTATATGTGCAGAATTTTATCAAAACCTTAGTGATTATCAATGTAGATGCTGTTAATTTTAATGCAAATTGGAAATCCAAAGTTCTATGATGGCCTTTGTGCAATTTTACCATCAATCTTTTGTTCATTTTTCAGCTTACATACTGACCTGGCTGAGAGGTGGGCTGCATTGCAGCAGGCAGCGCACTTGGCACTAGACCACCTGGTGGTAAAATGCTGCTTAGGTTTATATCTGCAGGACTTATTGCACCAGTACTGCACCCCAACATGGAGTTTGAGCCGCTCATCAATGTTTGCGCACCACTGTACAAACGTAATGAGTACAAATTAGACTTAGACTAATACGATATAAGCAGACCTCAAAGTGCTGGGTATTGGACAATCTCCCTGTCCAACACCAAGCAAAGATATCTGCTTCATTAGTCTTGAGGTTACACAGTTCAGTCCCCAACTGATCTGTGAAGCCTTGTGGAATTAATCAACAGATATGTGAACAATGGTAATTTTATCCAGTTAAAATTGGCAAGGGTAAAATAGGCCTATTTTCCTATACAAGATGTATTAGCTGGCATCTTAGATACATTCTAGACCAGGGGTCCTCAAACCTTTTAAACAAAGGGCCAGGTCACAGTCCTTCAAACAGTTGGAGGACTGGATTATAATTTGGAAAAAAAACAAAACATAATGAATTCCTATGCACATGGCACATATCTTATTTGTAGTGCAAAACCACTTAAAATACAATAATTAAAATTAAGAACAATTTTAACAAATATAACTTTATTAGTATTTCAATGGAAAGTGTGGGCCTGCTTTTGACTGCTGAGATAGGATTGTTGTTATTGTTATGTGCTTTCAAGTTGTTTCAGACTTAGGTTGACCCTGAGCGAGAGCTGGCTAAATGACCTTGGAGGGCCGTATCTAGCCCCCGGGCCTTAGTTTGAGGCCCCCTGTTCTAGACATTCCCCTAATCACATGTAACTGCACAAATAATCTGTCCCCACAGAATGGAAGAAGATCTGAAAGGCACCTTGGAGAAATATCAAAGATTGCTTAGACCAGAGTTTTCTAAACTGTGTCACGACACATTGGTGTGTCAGTTGCAGTGTGCAGGTGTGTCATGAGATACCTCTGAGTCTATGTGAAATAAGCAAGAAGTCATATATTTGTAATATTTACAAAATATAAATGAAAGTTTTTAATGAGATGCTATTTCAATTTATGTAATAAGTATTTTAAACTCGTATCCCATGTTTCAATCTCTGTTGTGTAGTTTCATATGTATTTTATAGAAATATGTTTTAATATGTATGTTTATAAAAATATGTTTTAATATGTGTATTTGTGGAATTTTTACAATGTTTAAGTTTTAATTATTCTGTAATTCGCTGAGCCATGAGGAGGTAAGAGTAGTTTCCTAACCTTTTCAGGCTTGTGATCCCATCAGTTCTTTGTTGCAGGCAGATGGTATTTGTGGCACAAGTTCCAATGAAGGATCTGATTATTATTATTATTATTATTTTACTAACACAAAAACACAGTATGACACAGCAAACAAGATATATATGCTGAATTTTGTATCACAACCTATAAGTAAAACATTTCCCAAGCATTTAGGACTGTGTGATATATTTTCAACTGATGTGCGCAGATCCAAGTAAGATGGGCTTTTACAGTTGACAGATCATGATTTTGTCAATGTTTATTCTTTCCAAATGCCGACTGAGATCTTTTGGCATGGCAGCCAGTTGTTATTGTTGTTGTTATTATTATTAGAAACACAAAAAGATTAGTACACAGCAAACAAGGTCACTCTGCTGGTTATTGTATTGGATCACACGTCAGACGCTTCCCAAGTGTCTAGGATTGTGTGATGTATGGCAAATAATGCGTGCAGATCCCAGTAGGGTGGTCTTTTGCAGCTGACAGATGGTAATTTTGTCAGTGCCAATTGTGTTTAAGTGCAGGCCAAGGTCTTTAGGCACTGTACCTAGTGTGCCGATCACCACTGGGACCACCTTTACTGGCTTGTGCCAGAATCTTTGCAGTTCGATCTTTAAATCCTCATATTGTGTCAGCTTTTCTAGTTGTTTCTCTTAAATCCTGCTGTTGCCTGGGATTGCAACTTCAACGATCCATACTTGGTTTTTTAACACGATCGTGAGGTCAGGAGTATTGTGCTCCAAAACTCTATCATAATTATAATTATAAGTCATTAACATCACAACAACTTTTAGCACAACATCACAAATGTGATGTCATAGGCATCACTGAAACCTGGTGGGATGACTCCTATCGCTGAAATGTAGACATCGAGGGCTATAACTTCTTTCACGGAAACCGAATAAAGCGGAGAGGAGGCAGAGTAGCCTTATATGTCAAAACTGTTACACTGCAAAAGAGATGCAAGACAGCAATCTGGGAAACCAGCTTGAAAGCATATGGATAAGAATCAAGGGAACTGGGACTCAAAAAGATCTCGTTGCAGGCGTCTACTACAGATCTCCAAAGCCAGGATGAAGAATTTGATGAAGTCTTTTGCCAACAGTTGACCAAACAGTCACAAAGAAGAGATATAGTAATCATGGGTGATTTAAACTAACCTGATATTTGCTGGAAAATAAACTCGGCCAAGAGTACAAAGTCCAACAAATTCCTTGCTTTGTTGCAGGCAATTTCATGGTCCAAAAAGTAGAAGAGGCAACAAGAGGGTCGGCTACTCTCAATCTCATCCTAACAAATGCAGAGGATCTGAGTGATGCAGCTGAAGTGGTCGGATCCTTAGGGGCAAGTGACCACGTGCTCCTGCAGTTTGAGGTACAAAGGAAGGCCGAAACTAAGACAAGTCAAACCCGCATTTTGAACTTTAGGAGAGCTGACTCCCTAAAAATGAAGGAAATACTGAGCAGCATTCTGTGGACACAGATACTAAAAGACAAGGGAGTTACAGGTTGATGGGAGTTTTTCAAGAGTGAAATACTCAAGGCGCAATTGCAAACAATACCAACAAAGAGAAAAAATAGGACAAGAGCAAAGAAGCCAGAATGGATGCCCGAAGAACTTCTAACTGTGCTAAGACACAAAAGAGACATGCACAAGAAGTGGAAAAAAGAGAATTCAAACAAATAGCCAACTCCTGTAGGGAAATTGTCTGTAAGGCTAAACCGCGAAACGAGCTCAAGCTTGCCAAGGACATTAAAAACAATAAAAGGGCTTCTTTTCTGTGGCACAGCTATCTGAGTGTCAGCTGCATTATGATCACTTCTGACCAAAAGCTCATGAGTTCGGAGCCAGCCCGGGTTGGCGTGAGCTTCCGACCAATTGTGTAGCTTGTTGTCGACCTTTGCAACCTGAAAGACAGTTGCATCTGTCAAGTAGGAAAATTAGGTACCACCTATGTGTGAGGAGGCTAATTTAACTAATTTACGAGGCCATAAAAGAAGACTCCAGCAAAGCACTCCAGCAAAAGGGGAATGCGGGGAATGCGGAAGTATTTCATCAGTGTCGCAGATGGACAATGAAAGTGACAGCTCCCCTGGCAGCCAGAAAAGTTAAATAGCCTCTGACTGTCTGTCTATATCTGTTGGCAATGAATGTTTGCCATATATGTGTACATTGTAATCCGCCCAGAGTCCCCTGCGGGGTGAGAAGGGCGGAATAGAAATACTGTAAATAAATAAATGTGAGTAGAAAAAGGAAGAACAAGGATGCGACAGGGCTTCTTTGAGGAGAAGATGGGGCAATGCTGTCAGGCAATAGGAAAAAGGCAGAACTACTTAATGCCTTCTTTGCCTTGGTCTTCTCACAAAAAGAAAGTCATCTTCAAACCTCAGCAAGATGGTCTGCAAACACTTAGTAACAAATACAGATTTATCAAAAACAAGTCATGCCAGACTAATCTGATCTCTTTTTCGACAGAGTTACAACCTGGGTAGATGCGGGGAATGCCGTGGATGTAGTGTACCTGGATTTCAGTAAGACCTTCGACAAGGTCCCCCAAGACTTTCTGGCAAGGAAACTAGTCCAATGTGGCCTAGGCAAAATTTTGGTGACTTAGACGAAGGGTCAGAAGGCATGATCATCAAGTTTGCAGACAACACCAAATTGGGAGGGATAGCAAATACCCCAGAAGGCAGGAGAAGAATTCAAAACGATCTTGACAAATTAGAGAGATGGGCCAAAACTAAGAAAATGAAGTTCAACAGGGATAAATGCAAGATACTCCACTTAGGCGGAAAAAAATGAAATGCAAAGATACAGAATGGGAGATGCCTGGCTCGAGAGCAGTACGTGTGAAAAATATCTTGGCATCCTCGTGGACAGCAAGTTAAACATGAGCCAACAATGTCATAAGGCGGCAAAAAAGCCAATGGGATTTTGGCCTGCATCAATAGGAGTCTAGTGTCTAGATCCAGGGAAGTCATGCTACCCCTCTATTCTGACTTGGTTAGACCACACCTGGAATATTGTGTCCAATTCTGGGCACCACAATTTAAGGGAGATGTTGCCAAGTTGGAATGTGTCCAGAGGAGGGTGACTAAAATGATTAAGGTACTGGAGAACAAGCCCTATGAGGAGCGGCTTAAAGAGCTGGGCATGTTTAGCCTGAAGAAGAGAAGGCTGAGAGGAGACATGATAGCCATGTATAAATATGTGAGAGGAAGTCATTGGGAGGAGGGAGCAAGCTTGTTTTCTCCTGCCCTGGAGACTACGACACGGAACAATGGCTTCAAACTACAAGAAAGGAGATTCCATCTGAACATGAGGAAGAACTTCCTGACTGTGAGAGCCGTTCAGCAGTGGAACTGTCTGCCCCAGAGTGTAGTGGAGGCTTTTTCTTTGGAAGCGTTTAAACAGAGGCTGTATGGCCATCTGTCAAGGGTGCTTTGAATGCAGTTTTCTTGCTTCTTGGCAGGGGGTTGGACTGGATGGCCCATGAGGTCTCTTCCAACTCTATGTTTCTATGATTATTATGATTATTGTGTTCCTATCTCTGGGTTTAGCCTCTGGTTTGGTAGTAAAATCGAACAATCATGTTGCAAAATGATGCATATCTGAAAAGTGTGTCACTGACATGAAATGTTTGGAAAGCTCTGGCTCAACAGTGTGCAAACCATAGTGCCATATTTTGCCCCTATTTTTTTAACATAACTCCAAAGTCAGCAACAATGCAATATGGACAGGTTACTCGAGTGGTACTCTAAATTCACACATGTGGAGAGTATCTGCTCCTGCGCAGGTTCCAACAGAACACTTCCAAAGTTTAAAACTAAAGTTTTGGTGATAATCCCGCCCACTCCCCC